AAAAAAAAAAAAAAAAAAAGGGTGCCTGGGTGGCTCAGTTGGTTAAGCAACTGCCTTCGGCTCAGGTCATGATCCTGGAGTCCCGGGATCGAGTCCCACATCGGGCTCCCTGCTCAGCGGGGAGTCTGCTTCTCCCTCCGACCCTCTTCCCTCTCGTGCTCTCTATCTCTCATTCTCTCTCTAATAAATAAATAAAATCTTTAAAAAAAATTAAATTAAATTAAATTAAATTAAACTTCAACTAAGCTCAACATATAGAAATATTACAAGGCATAATATCAAAAAAAAATAAGTATGACAATAACTTGTTAAATGTTGGTTAGAATAAAACAAAACAAAACATCCAAAGCCTTAGCTTTGCAATTCAACCAAGCTCATAGCTGGACTTTTATTCTTCAGCAAACATAAACTAAAAACCTTCCTCGTTCTCATTTTAAGAAAAAGAAAAGGTCTTTCCTGTTAACACATGTATTGTTCCATATCTCCAACCACCAGTATTTGAAAGTTCAGTAACTACAAAAGGAGTGTGAGACGTAAAAACAGCTGGGTATTTATTTTAGAAACAATTTTCTAAAAGGACTTTGTAATAATGAACCATACACATTAGGCAATTCTAAGCAAATGTGTTTTTACATTTGATAGGATTCTAGAACAAACCTCTGTGGCCCAATCAGATCAAACATTTAGAATGCATCTAAATCCCCAGTCTCAAACTGGAATGGGGAAATTTGTTTAATTACTGTAAATCCTATTAAACCAATCTTCTTTGTAAAGTGGAAAATGTCTGACCTCTGAGGGCTCTGAAGGGTATAATGAATGCAGAGTTTAATTAGGGCCCACTGTTGGCTCACTATAATCTATTAATTAGCATTCTCAGTTCTCTGCAGTGTCTCACTTTACTTTAAAATTGCACCCTTTGCTTTTTGGACCAAAGTTATACAATTTTAGGATTGCGTGGTAATTATAGTGGGTGCAGGAAGAATATATTCCTGCCAGCATTGCTGCTTAATTAGGGCAAGGGGTGGAATCTAGTAAGGCTGTGTTCACCCTCCTTGAGTGCATATGGTTTTTTTGGCATCATAGTCCTGTGGACTGTTTCACTTCCACTGGACTGAAGTGCTGAGTCCCCACTACACTCTTTGCAGAAAAGTCAAACACTTTGCTTTTGAATGTAGTTTAATAACTACAAAGGATACTGTCATTGCTTTTTATCCACACAGCTTTCAAAGAATAGGCATAATTAGCTGCCTCAATTATTCGAAAATAAAGACATATACCAATAATTTTCTTCCTTGTTAAAATGGGCATTTCCAAGTTGCTTGATGATAAAAAACATCTTGGTGAAAGGCACATTTTTAGTATCATCAGAAAGGTATACTGGAGGCTAGATAATTCAATGATAAATCTAGTAATCTGAATTCAACTTCTACCAAAATCCACTTTAAATTATATATACACTTATATTGATACACATTACATACTGTCAATATACTGTCACACATACTGTCAATATACTCTTGAAAGGTAGGAACTTTAAAAGGAATTGTTTATTCATGTGTAATTTTTACACAATATTTATAACAAGAAGTTACAGCTCAACCACTTTTCAGGTAAACGTAAGTAAACTGATTTTTATTAATGTATTTGAGATTGAATAATATTCAAGTATGATATACTATGATGCTTAACTGTCTAAATACATACAAAGTACCTCATATTTGAGCACGGAAACACTATCAGTACATACTCCAAATTTATCAATCTGATTTTTACAAACTAAAAAACCTAATATCTACCCTTGAAATACAGATACCGTTTTTAAGACCTATGCTACATTGGTACCTTCCTATAAGATTAAATAAAGCAAACTCCTTTTTTCTCTCTTGATATTTACAATTCAACACCAAACTATAAAAACTTTCAGAATGTATCTGCTATTATTTCATATTTAGGAATGATAAACTTTTGGTGTTGTACTTCACCTTCTGAGAACATAAACGTGAACTGAAGAAAACCTATTTCCCCCTCCTACTGTCATATGTCATTTAAATATTTTATCTTGTACATCAGTGATTCTCAAGGTGAGGAGATATCAAAATCACCAGGATGTTTTTTAAATAAACATATCTAAGATTTTAAACACTTTTTTCTCTACACACATTCCTTCTACTAAGGGTCACTGACAAAGTTAATGATCATTATGTGCAGGAAGGAGCCTGTCACTACCCTGAAGTGTAGTAGGCCGAAAAAAGGTTGAGAAGCACTTAGCCAATGGTCCCTTGTTTATTTTCCCTTCTGTCACAATTGAGCTCAAAGGTGACAAGAGAATAATCATGAATTCCCTATGGCAAATGAGCAACACATTGGCTTAAGAATTAGATGTACTACATTCTAAAGATCCCAAAATTGGTTTATCTCAGAACTACCAGAGAAGGTTGTTTAAAATATAGGCTCCTGGACTCCATCTCCAGAGATATTTATGAAGCAAAAGGCCTGGAAATCTATATTTTAAATAAATAAATGTATCAGAATAAACATTTAGGAACCTTGTCCTTACTTTTAAGATCTAACACTGCGGTCTATTTCAATTCTTCTCCTTCTTTTCACATTTTTGTTTTTAAAGTCTTGAAGACTCAAACTCAAGAAACTTCCTAAGGAATACTTTTTAAAGGACATTTCCTCTTTTTTAAAAAGAGGCTGGGTCTCTAAGAGACTTAAAATTTAAGTATACTAATAAAACATCCAGATTTTGTATAATGACAAATTACATTTAATCACTGGTTAAAAACTAAATGCAAAGTAGTTTGAGGTTATAATATACCTAAGAAAATTATCATAATTTCTAATTATTTTGAAATCTCTGATTCAAATGAATTCAAGGTTTAGTTTTTTGGGTTTTTTTTTTTTTAAGATTTATTTGAGAGAGACAGAGGAGGGGCAGAGAGAGAGGCAGAAAGAATCTTAAGCAGACTCTGCACTGAGTGGAGCCTGACGCGGGACTATCTCACAACCCTTGGATCACCTGAGCTGAAACCAAGAGTCGGATGCTTAATCGACTGAGCCACCCAGAGGTGCCCCAATGTTTAGTTTTTAATTCATATTGTACTATCAAATAAATTTGAAGATTTTTAACTCTGTGATGTTAAATTAACTAGTACAGACACAATAGTATATAGGCATTAAAATAATGATTCAGACACATAGGGCTTTAATATACAGCAGATGTGTTGGCTAAAAAAGGTCACAATGTAACACCTATAATATTCCATTTGTATAAATTTTATGTGTGTATGCACAGAGATGTTCATTATGGAGAAGCAACAAAATGTTAACAATGGAATAGCAAAGATTTCAGAGATGGGAGGATTTGGGATAAATTTTGATTTCGTATCTATCTTCTTCAGTATTATTTTTATGATCAGAGAAAAGAAGCTATTTTTATTACTGAAAAAGTAAGTCTGTGGCTTTAACATACAAAACAATATAACTAGCAATCTTCTTCAAATAACCAAGAGTAGATATGAATGTCTGAACTGAGTATTAGTAATAGAATGGTAAAACAATCAAAAGAAATCTTAGATTTACTTCATCAAAGACAGATCACTTCTAATTCCTTCTTTCTTAGCATCATTCAAGAACGTTGAAGAAATCCAAATAAGTTTATTACTTTCTTCATAATTTTTATTAACCTAACCCCAAAACAAAGTATAACATCAACAATAAGATGGCTACTTTAAAATTCTCCTTTAAGAGTAAGAGAATTTATTAAGGTGGCAAATAATTCAAACACACATTTAAGAAAAGTTCTAAAAGTCCAAAAAAAAAGTACGATTAAGATTTTAATTGCTGAGGGCGCCTGGGTGGCTCAGTCATTAAGCGTCGCTCAGGTCATGATCCCGGGGTCCTGGGATAGAGCCCCGCATCGGGCTCCCTGCTCAGCGGGAAGCCTGCTTCTCCCTCTCCCACTCCCCCTGCTTGTGTTCCCTCTCTCGTCTGTCAAATAAATAAATAAAATCTTAAAAAAAAAAAAGATTTTAATTGCTGGAAGCGTGAATATGATTTGTTCACATCTTTGGAGTCATATGTCACTCAGCAATGTGACATGACAGTGGCCAAAACATCAACTATAACCTGAAGAGTAGGAAAAAAAAAATGTTTCATATATCTAATAGGATAGCATTTAGCTCTCGAACTGCAAAGCCCTAATTTTAATGCCTAGTTATCTCATTTATTTTCTAGAAGCAACCAACCACACCAAATTGCCTTTCTTCCACCTTATACCTGAAGAACTAAAAAAGAAAAAAATTTTTTTGACTTTTAAAAATCTACATAAACATCCTCAAGTTAAACTTTCATGAATGCCAAGAGAAAAAACTGCATCCCATTGTTGGTACTTAATATTTACATTATCAATACTAACTTCTTAAAACTAATTGTCATTCTGTGCTATCAACATACTGATTTGCCTTGCAGTAGTTTTTCTGGTTTTTTCAAGACTGATTTTTTTACACCTATTATGGTAAATTTTTTTTCTTTCTTTTTCTCTGTGTGGACAGCCTCTTGCCTCAAGTCCGTTCCTGGCAGACTGGTGAGATGTCACAGGTGTGCAGCAGCCACTAACACTTATCTCTTCCCTCCCTTTCTCCACCCCCTCCCTCAAACTCTGCAGGCCATGGAGATTCAGATACTTTGCATACAAACAAACAAACCAATACAATCTGACAACCTGAATTCATTTTGTCTGAGCCCTCATTTTACAACTAGGCCTGGTGATGACTAACTTAACATCACACAGGTGGCAGTGCACAGGACTAAAATCGGGGTCAGTTGAAATGAGTGTCAGCACACCAGTCGGCCAGATAATAATGTGAGCCATAAATTGTGCGAGGTGCATGATGCTTGAATGCCAAGTTCAACCAGCAAAAATATGGAACTCTTCACAAATTTGCGTGTCATGCTTGCGCAGGGGCCATGATAATCTTCTGTATTATTTTGATTATTAGTTTATGGGCTGCCGAAGCGAGCACTACAATAAATCTTACTGCTACACCTGAAACTTAAGGTACGTAGCCTGAATAATTTTGATAATGCATCTTAGAGCAGATGACAAAATTAAACTCTCGCAAGAACTGGAGAAAGGTAATAACAGGCTTAAAGAAAAGACAGGAAGAGAAAGAGAAGCAGGAAAATGCAAGTGGGAAAAGCAAGCAAGAATAGTGAGCAAGCAGACCTGGCAACCAGAAAAAAACAAAGGTACAGGACCAAATCCGGAAAAGGTTAAGAAATGGAGGATAGAAAAATACTCAGATAAATAGGAAAAAGAAAGACAAATGAACCAAGAGGAAAACCTAAGAAAAGAAAGAGAATAGCTCATTTCACTTACACACATGAATTCAGTCAGTAAAGGTAAACATACATATAAAACTAACCTGGTTTTCTTCCTGCACAACTCTATACTGTTCCTTCCAAATAGTGATTTTGGAAGCTTCATCTTTTCTCAGGGCTCGTTCTTTCTTCAGCTCTGGGCTCCAAAAAGTCTTAATGCTGTTCATTGAAGAACTTAATTTGCTCTCCTTTACTTCCACATCCTTCCGCAAGAGATCATTTTCTCTTAATACTTCTTTCAGCTGTGTCTGCAAATCCATGATTGTATTATCTCTTGCCTGACGAAGAGAGTGAGGAACAGTGGAAGCCATACTCACAGGAGGGAGGTGATGCTCTCCAAATGCTATGGTGTCACTAGCAACACCACTGCTAGCTATATTGGGGCTACTGCCCATAGCAGTCATCCTGACACCATACGGCAGACGTCCCCCAGAACGGCCAAGCGTCATAGTGCTTTTAGGTGTTTCTGAACCCACATTTTCATGGTCACTTAGGTACATAGGGCCAGATGTGGCATAGGCAGCATTTAAGGATTGGATATTCTCCATTGAAAGGGTTTTCCCACTGCCACCTCCAACACTGCTTCCAGAACTCCCTCCTGTACTGTTGGTTCGACGATGACCCAAACGAGGGGAACGTGGAAGCCTAGGTGAACGCCCAGGGCTCTGGTTGCTCGGTTCCACCTTCCCAACTGAGCGAGCACTTCCATACATGGTTGCAAGATGAACGTGGGTGCCAAGAAAGGTGTAAAGCAGAAAGCAAAATATGAAATTCCGTGAGGTTTCTCGATGGCTATAAGTCTGCTTAAGGCTAATCAGGAGTAACAGGTCTTCGGCTGTCCAGTCTTGAAGAAATACCTTATACCATATCTGTAATGAAAAGATCACACATTAAATCCCCCAATAATAAATATTTGCCTCTCAGAAACTTTTCATTACCCCCACATAAGAAAGATCTCCCTTCCTATCATCTGTTTATTCACGCATTCAAAATTTGTCTACAGCACATTTTACTGTAAACATCATTTTAACAGTATTTTGCATGTCTTAAAACTGAATACTGAAACCATGCCATGCAAATGGAAAAGAAAAAGAAATAAGAGGCATAAATACTAGCAATGAAAAGATAAAACTCAAGTTTGAACGTATGATTTTCTAACTAGAAAACCCAAGATTATCAACTAACAAGTTAATAGAACTCTACAAATCAGATACAAGATCAATATATAAATATCACTACTTTCCTATACATTAGTAATAACAATTAGAAAATGCAATTTTTTTTAAATCCCACTCACAATAGCAACAAAACCATAAAAACACTGGTATAAAAAGGTACAAGCATGAAATACTTCAAATCCTAATGAAAATCTCTACAGGATTCTCCAAATAACTCAACAAGCTGACTCTAAAATTCAAATAGAAGAGTAAAGGTGTAAGAATAACCTAAACGATTTGCAATAGAAGAACAAAGAAGATGTTCCTTAGCAAGATAAATTACAGGTCCATGATCCTTCACTTGCAATGTAAAAATCGTAAAACCTCTAAAAATAAGTTTTTTTTCTTCTTCTTTAGCAGCAAAACCTGACTTGATCTGGTATGAGGTCACTTATTGTTTATAGGTATTATTCATACAGTCGTTGAGAAAACAATGTATATGATTACAGGATACTGCATAATGTCCACTGGGTAGCAGGGGGAAAAATCTGGACTCCAAACCACAACTGACCCCCAGGATTTCTCATAAGGACTCATAGTCTTTTAAAGCTACAGTATTTAGGGCGCCTGGGTGGCTCAGTCATTAAGCTTCTGCCTTTGGCTCAGATCATGATCCCAGGGTCCTGGGATCGAGTCCCACATCTGGCTCCCTGCTCGGCAGGAAGCCTGCTTCTCCCTCTCCCACTTCCCCTGCTTGTGTTCCTGCTCTCGCTCTCTCACTCTCTGTCAAATAAATAAAATCTTTAAAAAAAAAAAAGCTACAGTATTTAAAATTGTATGGCACAGGTTCAGGAACAATTAACTGTATATGTAAGTTTAGTATATGCTAAAAGTAACATTTCAAAAGAGTGAGGAAAAGACAAATCATTCAATAAATGGGGTTTGAACAACTGGTGCTCTTGGAAAAATAAATTACATCCCTACTTCACACAGTACACAGAAATAAATCTGATGTACATTAAAGGTATAAATTTTATTTTATTTATGTTTTTGAGAGAGTGTATGTGCATGTGCACCGTGAACAGGAGGGGGAGGTGGCGCAGAGGGAGAAGGAGAGAAAGAATGCCAAGCAGGCTCCATTCCCAACATGAAGCCCGATGCAGAGCTCAATCTCACCACCCTGAGATCATGACCTGAGTCGAAATCAAGAGTTGGATGCTTAGAATGGCTAAAATTAACAAGTCAGGAAATGACAGATGTTGGCGGGGATGCGCAGAAAGGGGAACCCTCCTACACTGTTGATGGGAATGCAAGCTGGTGCAGCCACTCTGGAAAACAGTATGGAGGTTCCTCAAACAGTTGAAAATAGAGCTACCATACGACCCAGCAATTGCACTACTGGGTATTTACCCCAAAGATACAAATGTAGGGACCCGAAGGGGTACATGCACCCCGATGTTTATAGCAGCAATGTCCACAATAGCCAAACTGTGGAAAGAGCCAAGATGTCCAGCGACAGATGAATGGCTAAAGAAGATGTGGTATATATACACAATGGAATAGTATGCAGCCATCAAAAGGAATGACATCTTGCCATTTGCAACGACGTGGATGGAACTGGAGGGTGTTATGCT